GAAGTGCAAGTTTAAGAGACCCACAACAGGCAGATAAGGTGCATAACAATTAATATATTTCTTATGATCTGAAGACCACCATTAGGCCAAATGGGTTCTCTTCCACTGTATGAGTGAAATTTTGGAAACGTGAATATAAACAAAGAAGGAAAAATTAGTCAACATGACTTTAAAGGGGGTTACCAGAATTCAGTAGAAAATATAAATGCACAATAAAGAGTTCTCAGCTTCACTTTTTTTTCCTAGACAGTGTGTAATAAAACCTAACTTCTTTACAAATTAAGTCATTTCCAATGCAGACCTACTGTAGTGATTTCATAAAAGTGCAGACAACATAACCAGACACACAGCAAAATAGACTTCAATCAGTAGTCCTTGCATACAAGAGGTGAGTCTGCTAGGTGTACAGCACACTCTTCATCCTTTCAGGAATTTGAGGATGGGAAAGTTCCAGTTCTTAACAACTAAGAGTGAACGCCTTTTCAAAGGCAATGCTACAACCTGGTTGGTGCTACTGTGCTAGATGGAGGAAAATAAAAGAGAATGTGTTTCTCCTCAGTAATGATCTGTAATTTGGTAAGCAGCTTAAAGATGACAGCCCAACCAAGTTTTGGCCCTGCTTCTTAGAAAAGGCTCGTTTCTATCTAAGAAATGAGAACCTCTACCTCCATCATTACATGAGATTCACACTTACATACTTTAAATATATTATTTTCTAACTTGAGTACACACTAGACACTTCACATTGTGAGCATGGGACAAAACACAGGACCATATAAATTTCCTAGGAAAGGGTTGCTGTGTTGGGCCAAACCTCTGCTTGAATAGTAGTGGCTCGGAAGGGGTGGAAGGTGCACAAAGATCTTACTATTAGCAAGCAAGAAGAGGCAGCTAGAAGGAGAAAGCCCCACACACCAGTACCATGCCCCTCTCTCCCAGTGGCCATTTCTTATTGATTTCACAATTTAGGAGAACTGTAGATGTTTCAGCAGTAATTCCTTTCTTGAATGTTTTGGTCCTTAGCAAAATACATATTAGGATTAATGGAGTAAAAAAGGGTAAGAGGGTCAATGGCATCACTGCTAAGAAATACATACAGAAAGTAAATAAAGACTGTGTGATTTATTGATTCATTTTATCATCTTTGCAGAGGAATCACCACCAGTGTTTTTAATTCCCACGGTTCATTTCTCTCTGCATTACTTATCTTTTATTGTGTCACAACACAGACTCAAGGAAACACAAACTGGCTTCTTCCCCAGCACTATTTACTGCATTGCAATGTATGTTCCACATTTAACTTTCTCTCCACTCACACAAGTGCTCAGAGGGGATTAAAAAGGAAAAGAGTGCATCTAATGACCACCTTCTCATAAATCTCAACCCAGAGTACACATTCTTAAGAAAAATATGCATTTTTGCCTTAACTGAGGGCTGAAATAAAAAACAAAAAGAACAGAACCTTAAGTGCCCTGATGGAAATGTACAGTGAGTTATATCCATCCATCTATCTACACACACATACAGACACTGATATGTATATACAATATATACATACAAATGATAATAGCTATACCAAAAATGTGCATATTTAACACAGTTTTAAAAAGCCAGTAGATCATGGTATAATACAATTTATTTCCACTAGTGAATGGCACAAATGGAGAAATGTAAAGGAGGTGTTTCAAGTACAATAAAGTCATTTTTCACAGGTGAAAATAAACAGTATTATTCCAGTGTCCAACACAATGTATTCTGTAAAAATTTAAAATGCCAGACGTTTAGTACTTATAGAAGTAAAAAGTACTAAAGTCTGCCTTATGATTTTAAAAAGACACTCATAGAGTTTTCAATTTTTGAAAGAGGGTAAGGAAAAATAGGTGGAAGGGAGTGTCAAGGGCAATTTCTTTAGTGTAGTGAATGGTGTTTACTTAACGTCTAGGTAGCCAAAAATCATACTGACTATGATAGAAAGTTCAATTTCCCAATAAATCTTTGTAATATGCGTAGAATACTAAGCATATTACACTTATGAGCATGGCTTCACATGCAGCAGTATTCATCTCTAGGCATAGAAATAAGAAGAGAATAAAAATAGTATAAACACATTTTCAGCTAACATTATATATAATGAAAATACTTTCAGATACTATATAATTTGGGGTTAGAGCTGACTTTAAAAAGGGGAGAAAAATATGTGCAAAGGGAAGGGGACCCAATTAAGAATACTATATTTCAAGGTATGACGTTTTGCATTTTTAAAATGCTAAGTAAAAAAAAGGGAGAGACAATGAACACAGGAAACTTACTGCCAAGCTCTGGAAACCAGATGTAGCATTCACAACTTTCTGATATGCTGGACAAATTTCCCATACTTTTTATTTCCTTAAATACATATATAATGAGTGAACACCAACAATGGGAAGGAGGTAGTGTTAATCTGATCATATGTTGACATTTGCACACTGATTCAAAAAGTGCTTGCTTTTTTCTTTAGGAAATCTCAAAATCTTTCAAATTTTCCTATTATGAACTTTACTCTCTGATGATTCCTATCATGTATGAGACTCCTCAGAAATCATCTTACTCATGCACAAACACACACAAACCAATTAATATGAATCATTTTTGCAAACTATAAATATTTTAATTACAATTAACTTAATGGTATAATCCAGGTATAGTCATGACCTACATGTAAAACTGTCACACGATTAAATGAGATACAAAGTCTTACTGGAAAGACATTTGGTGTCAGTATTTAATCACATTTTTACAAGTATATATGATCTGAATAAACTCAATAACTCAATCTGATTAAGTTGAAAACTCTAATTTTAAGTCTACAGCTGGATTTTAAAATGCAGAATGGGGAATTTGGTAGAATTTGGGGTTTTAAGGAGTTCTGTATGCAAAACATTTGCTCTTCCATCCATCCAGTAGTACAGAGGGGCCAGATCTAATATTAAGAGGTATTAAATTCCATTATATTTTTAAACATTTTATTAAATTCTAATGCTTTCTTGTCAGATTTCTCAATTTGTTTGAAGCATTATATATCTGAACGCAAAAAAAGATATCAGGAAAACTAAAGCCCCTCTCATTAGATATGACATATACATGTCATGTTTATCTAAGAACTGGTGATCTGAAGAAGGGCCAAGAGGACACTATATCACAGTGCTACTTGAAACACTGCCTAAAATTGTGTGTGAATTCTACTGTGGTCTTGATTTTAAAAAGATTTACATTAAAATACTAATTTTTCTTCATTTACCTTTAAATGAATGCCAGGAACTCCTAAAGGAGAGGATTCCTGGAGGTTGGACTGACATACCTGGGGAAGACTTTAATTTAGTTGAGAAAACCAAGACTTCAACAGTGATACATTGCTGTTTGGTCATTAGTTCAGTCTAGGGGAATAGAATCAATGAGAAGGATTCTGACTACGTGAAAAGCGGGATCCAGAGTTAGCAGCATGGGTTCTTCAAGAGAACTGGGAGGGGGCAGGACAATAATATGTAAGAACTCTGATTCATCACTGGAAAGGACTTTTTTTTTCTTCAAGGAATACTCACAGCTCCCACCCACCTCCAACTCAGTTTCCACACTGGCAATGGAATACCAAGTAACATCTGACTTTCAGCACTAGGTTGATCCTTCATTGCAAAACAAAACAAAACACGCCCCCCACCCCCCCCTTTTGGGGGAAAAAAAGTTAGCTTTTGTCAAGAGATTCCCTGACCAGTATAACTTAGTTTTACTTTTTTATTTTTTTTTAATTTGCCAAACTTCCTAGTTCTTTTTCAGTAGTACTTTAGCACAAAGGCTAGAGACTTCTGTAAGTGGTGTTTCCTACTGTGTGATGTTAACATGATGCCAAATGGCCACAAAGTCTCAACGAACTAGAAGTTTGTAAAGTATTGCAGCAACAAAAACAGCAATTAAAAAAAAGAGGACCTGCACACGCAGCAAAATCTACAGTGGTGATGAGGATTACTCAGCAGCTGGTCGTCATTGGCTCAGTGACTCCTTGTTCACTATGGCAACTAAATATTTAAATAATTGGCTATTCTATGTGTAAACAGGAAATCCCATAAGCCAAAAGGGGGTAATCAAATTACGTCTATGTAGTGTGATGAGAATTCCAATAGATGGCAGCTTACAAATATGGCATCATTCAAATACCTCTGGCATTTGATTTGTATTGGCTACACATCTTTGTTTTGTACCAAGTGATAATATGTTTGGGGTCTTGGGAGTTCTAGTGCTTAGCTAGGATGAGATATCACAGTGTAAGCAACAAAACCTCAGGATATACAGGCTTCGTTTCCTCACTCTGCTGCTAAACATACCCAGCATATAAGCTTTCAGAGGCCTCGTTCACCCTTCTGGTCTCCCCCTTTGAAATCTCACAGGTTTGTTAATGCAATCTCCACACAACTTGTGATCTCCTTAAGCACCCTCACCTCTTCATGCCACAAAGAAGGCACAATCGAATAGATAAAAATCACTGACAAACAAACCTCTGTACCACTGAGAAAAAGAACTAAGTTGTTTTCTACCTTCTGCAAAGGTCAATGCAACCCTTTAGTGTTCATGGATTTCCCCTTTCTTTTTTTACTTCAAATGAGGCTGAGAAGTCAGGCCAATTTAGTAAAGAAAACACATTGTTGAGGGGATGCAAGTGTGTTTGCATAATAACTTGTTTCAGCATATGCTGCCTGCTGTGAGTGGCTCATAAGAATTAGGGATATGGAGGAAGGCTTTAGACATTTTCATAAACTTCTTAGGATACAGATGTCCAAGAGTGATGACTCAAGCCACTTTGCTGCATTTTATTTTTGCAGTTTTCAGAATATACCCCCTTATCTATCCAATTTCTTTTTACTAC